ATAATAGTAGTAAATTAAAATAGTTGACAAATGTAACTAATGTTACACACACGTAAAACATGAGTAGAGACCATTAAATGATTTGATTTTAATAAGCGTTATTTTATCCATTGTTCAAATTAATTATAATTTTATATAAACTAAATGTAATAATTATTATTTTATAGTTAATATAAATGATATAAATATTTTCAATAACATAAGATTACCAAAAAAAATTAATTTTATTTTTCGCAACGTTGGAGTCTTGGAGACAACCGTAATCTTCAATTTTACCCTTCCTTCAAATCTTGATCACCAGTCCTCATTATTGCAGGTGGGTAAATCGGAATCCCTCCCCTCCTTCAAATCTCGATCACCAATCCTCTTTCCCCTTTTTTCTAGAGTTGTTGGTGAGTATATATGAAAAAGAAAATAAAAGATATTCCCCTTGGTTTAACTGATCAACAAGCCTTGTTAAAAAACAATGATCATAAGTATTATTTGTTTTTCTTATTGTGAGTCTTATCTGATTGGTTCTCAATGTATATATGGTAGTGGTTGTTGGGGATTTATTGCATCAAGTACACTCATTATCTAAAGGTAGTGAAATAATAAAAAAAATTACATAATTGTTCATGCATCCAACAAGAGAGAGAGAGAGAGAGAGAGAGAGAAAGAGAGAGAACTAGGTACATGAATTTTCTTCATTTATTATGTGCCGGAATGGACCAATAAGAATTTAGTAAAATTTAAATTATTATTTAATCAAATAAAGATAGATATTAAATGATTTCCATAATTATATATATATATATATATATATTATATATATATATATATATATATTAAATGATATCCATAATTATAATTCTTTTTTTATGAAAACTAATTAAATTCTCCATTAATGTTAGCAATAATATTATTTCAGAATAAATATGTATCTAGGGTTTCATGTATGAGTTCGTGTTTTGTTTCAGGACTCACTCACTCAAAATACAACAAAATTACCTAAAACATGGAGAACGAGAGTGTATTATATTAGAATGAGAGTTTATTCTAGTAGAATAAGAGTGTATTCTACTAAAATATACATCAGTTCTCCAAGTTCCATACAACTTTGTTGTATTTTGAGTGAGTGGGTACTAAAACAAAACATGAATCCATAAATGAAAACATAGATGCAAATTCATTTTGAAAGAATATTATTGCTAACATTAGTGGCGAATTTAAATAGTTTTCATAAAAATGAATTATAATTATGGATATCATTTAATATATATTGAATTATGGAAATCATTTAATATCCATTTTTATTTGATTAATTAATAATTTAATTTTTACTAAATTCTTATTGGTCTATTTTCGCACACAATAGATATAGGAAAGACATCAACCTATATATATATATATATATATATATATATATATATGCATAGGTTATTCTATTCAAAGTAATTATTGTGTTATTGTATGCATAACTGTGGACCAATCAATTTTACTTATTTTAATAAAGTGATTAATATATATTATTTGAATTAAATGTAATTGAAAAATATCATCTAATTTAATTACAAGGGTATTTTTGTCAGTTAATATAGATTTAATAAAGGAAAATTGCATATTTTAAGGGATCATAGATTCTATTAATTTTAAAAATCTGATTTTACGAATTATAACTATTTTAATTCGGACATTCTGACAGAATATGTTTATTTATTTAATTATTTACTCAAAAATAAAAATATTCTTGAACAATAAATAATAAAAATATTCTTGAACCTATTTCTTGATCATGACTTTAAGAACTTCTTGTAGAATAACAAATTCTTGAACAATCAATTGAAGAATAAAAACAAAAAATACATTATTTCTTATAGAATACGGGTAACAATTGTTAAGAATTACATTTATTGTTAAATAATAAAACTAAAAAAAACTTTCAAAACGGGAAAGAAAACATCAAAATCTAACAACGACTAATACATTCTAAAACAATAATGTGGTCCGTTTCAATTTTGTGGTCCGTTCTTCAAGCATCAACTTCTGTGATTCCAACAGAATTGGAATTCGTGATTCCATTCCAACAGAATTGGAATACGTGATTCCATTCCAATAGAATTGGAATCTCACCAATATCATCCATTGAATCATCTACATAAACATACTTGATACATTTTCAGAATTCAACCTTGTCAAGATCCTGCACTGTCCACATAAATGAAGTGTTAAATCAGAAAAAAAAAAACATAAATTGAAATATGAATCAGACCATTTGAATCAGTCCCTTTGCTGCATCAATCAGACCATTTGAAAGAAACACAAATGATCTCCATATCACTCAAAACCCCCAAATTCCACTTGAATTGGAATTGTATAAAGAAAATTCTAATTATCTATATATGTACAAGTAGTCTACAAAGAAGAATGTTCTAAGTAGTAAAACAGGCAAAAAAGCAGAGTCTTCATACAAGCTTATTTGAGTCAGAAACCTCACAAAAATAAGCTTACCACATAAATCGTTGATCCTTTTGGCCATTTCCTTTACATCTTTTTCAGCTTTCTTGATGCTTGTGGAATATGGCCCCAATCCTTGCATAAGTCTTCATCAATTCAGTTGCGATAAACAAAACATTTCAACCAACACAAACTATCAACTCAAACGTTTCTCTATAATGCCCATGAACTCTAGTAAAATGCAAGATAAAGATCAAACTATCCTAAGTTCCTAACAGCTGAAGGCATTTAAAAATCAATTTTAAATCAAATTGTATTAAATCGCAGCAATTCATCAGCGCACAAAGCTAATCTTTCACCCGATCCGTAGTGTTGCTCGATGGTTTAACATGTTAAAAAGAACAAGATCTAATTAAATAAGGGCATCGAGTGGAACAAGTATTAGGTCTTTAGTTTGTAAGAATCGTGATTTAACTCACATAAGTCTTGAGAAGAGCGATATCGTCTTCATCCAGAGGAGGAGGATTCTTCTCATCCCTAATCTCATCTTCTATGTCAGTCGGCATCGCTTTTTTTGTTGCTACAGGAGGGCAACGATTTGATTTGGATCTCCTCGACGGAAAAACGTTTCTTTAGTTCTTCATTCGCTATGAGTTGCTCATCTGTATAATCATCCAACGATTCATCATCAAAATTAGGGTTTAAACTAGGGGTCTGTGCCGATTCGTTAAACCCAAATCGTAAACCCATCAGATTAAAAGAAGAATCGGGATCACTACCTGATGGTGTAACCGATGCATCGGGATTAGGTTCTGGAGGCGGAGACATCCGATTGGGGTGAAGACGTTGTCCTTTAATACCACTACCCATTTTTACGCAACCATCGTCAATCGACCCACGTCTGGTCCGAATCGCCGTCTGGAATCGTCGCAGACCTGCTCGGTTCTTCCTTTTCACGCAGCCATCTCCTTGTGCTTGCAGGCTTGAAAACAAACTTACGGGAGATTTAAGGAAGATAGCAAGATATGGATAGAGAAGGTTACCGATGCGCATGATGGAAGAGGAATCAGAGACAACGACGACATCTTTCACCCGCTGATGCTTTGATTTTCCTTTCTTAAACCTCAAATTCTGAAATCAGTTTCCAATCAATTAAATTCTGATTTCGGTTTTTGGATTAACGAGGGCATATTTCTATTCCAAATCCTGTTAGGACCCAAAAAAAATGTAGATTTCTAATATATATGGGTTAAATTCTGAAGTCAACGGTTACCATAATTATAGGATATTATTTGTGGAAACTAATTATCAAATTACCTACTTACCCTTATTTATTTATTTAATTATTTATTTTTTATTTAAATTTTGATTGGCCCACATTTATGCATACAATAACACAATAATTACTTTAAACACCTGAACCTAGCTCTCTCTCTCTCTCTCTCTCTCTCTATATATATATATATATATATATATATATAAACTTTTGAGAATGTTTTAAGTGCTTAAATATGACTTAGATATTAATACTCGCTTAATGAGATTACTCATAGTTAGAAATGAACTAATTATTTATGCATGTTCATGTGTAGTTTCTTAAACAACAATATATTTTGACTGTAGTTTAAATGTAATTAAAATATGGTTGGAACTCTTATCCATGCAATTTCTCATTCATTCATAATGAGGGTACGCGTGATTGTGATTGAGTACTATCTGAACACATAATTTGAATAAGATGTTCAACACATAATTTGAATATATTATAATACTTAGTAAAATAAATTTGTATGAGAAATAGATTATACTGACGATGATAAGTTCAAAATGATGCTAACGTTATTGTTTTGTAGCAAATAAGTGGTTATAGAGGACTTTGATCCTTAGTCTTACTAGTTTAATAACGTTTATTTTTATTTATAATTTCAACCAAAAAATTTCTAGGTTTTTAGTGAAAAGGTAAAAGAGTTAAAGTAAAATAAAAAAATTTGAGATTTTTTCATGTCAAATAATGAGACTTTTTGAAAGTAACCGTGTAAAATATAGTTTGCTGTAAAAAAAAGTTGATTTGAATTTTTTATCTGCTGATCATGATTTTCTTATTAACAAAATAAAATTTAGAACTTTTTTTTATAAATTGTGCCTTTGTTTAACGAACGGGTATTGCTAAATTGACACCCTTTAGACACCTTATAAACACTTTTATTAAAAGTCAACCTATAATAAATTATTTATAGTTTATTTTTTCAAAAAACAATACAAATTCAAGTAATAAAAAAATCTTAAAAATCAAATAGGATGTCTAAACAAAAAATTAGGAGCTCCCTTAACGAACATATACGACTCCTTGTCCCTAAATCATTATTAATTTTTTTTAATGTTATTAAACTTTTCTAATATTGTGATCCTTGAAAGGTCAACTTATTCTCTATTTCACAGTATTTCTCTTTCCTTCCTCCATTATTCGCCCGCCCTTTCCAGTAGCAGATTCGTCAATCAAAACCCTAATATCCGCTCTGTCTGTAATCTTATTCAATCGGATCAAAGAAGTAAATCTGCATCCGATGGCCAAACGAACTCTACCGATCCTCAAGCAACTGCTTCACCGACCAGCTCCACCTGTTTCGACCCCATCCCGATCTGTCACTTACATGCCCCGACCAGGTGATGGTGCTCCTCGCACAGTCACCTTAATCCCCGGAGATGGGATCGGTCCCCTCGTTACCGGAGCTGTCGAGCAAGTAATGGATGCGATGCACGCGCCGATTTACTTCGAAAAGTTCGATGTTCACGGCGACATGAAGACGATACCAGCGGAAGTCATAGAGTCGATTAAGAAAAATAAAGTGTGCTTGAAAGGGGGTTTGAATACTCCCATGGGTGGAGGGGTTAGTTCGTTGAATGTGCAGTTAAGGAAAGAGCTTGATCTGTACGCTTCGCTTGTAAATTGTTTTAATTTGCCTGGATTACCCACGCGCCATGAAAATGTTGATATTGTGGTGATTAGAGAGAATACTGAAGGGGAATACGCAGGGCTCGAACACGAGGTTGTTCCTGGTGTGGTGGAAAGTCTTAAGGTATACTCTAATCCAAGTATCGTTTTGCTTTCATCTCCATCCAATTTCCATTGAATATGTAAAAAAACGTTATGGATTCTGAAACTTGCACATGTAAGTAGGTACTTGATGTATGTATTCTGAATAATCTTAAGGTTTAGCAAGTTCTAAGCTTAGAATCTTAGGTCAAACGCAAACCTCATTTGGGCTCTTAAAGAAGTTCAGGGAAGTAGATGATGGGACCTGAAATGAACTCAATTTCCCTAGAAGTTTGGGTTTTCTTAATGGGTTGAGAGGTCTGTAGACATCTTAAAGAACATATGTAGGATTTTGGTCTGCTAGTAGATTGGGTGTTGTATACATAAAGACTTTATTTTTTGGACTGAATGAACTGTTTAATGTAGAATTACATGACCATATGACCCTTCTGTTTCAAAAATGATCTGAAGTTTCCATAATTTTCAGGTGATCACAAAGTTTTGCTCAGAGCGAATTGCAAAGTACGCATTTGAGTATGCTTACCTTAACAACAGGAAAACAGTGACAGCTGTCCACAAAGCAAATATCATGAAACTTGCAGATGGTTTGTTTCTAGAATCTTGTAGAGAAATAGCAAGCAAGTATCCAGGCATAAAATACAACGAGATCATTGTGGACAATTGCTGCATGCAGCTTGTTTCAAAGCCAGAACAATTTGATGTTATGGTCAGTTACTCATACTTGTTGCTTATCTATGAATCTTTTCAAGCTTACTTGATATATCATGTATTTAGATTTAATTGTGTGGTTGTTGTTTAGGTTACTCCTAATCTTTATGGAAACTTAGTGGCAAATACTGCTGCTGGTATTGCTGGTGGCACTGGTGTCATGCCTGGAGGTTGGTGCTCTTTTAAATTTATTATATTTGCATTGTGTAATAGAGCTTCTTTTACTCTCTAATCAAATTTATGAAAGAATCCATGTAACATAGGGGAATACAAATTGTAGGTAATGTGGGAGCTGATCATGCTGTGTTTGAGCAAGGTGCTTCAGCAGGAAATGTTGGAAAACAGAAGATAGTGGACAGAAAGACAGCAAATCCAGTGGCATTGCTTCTTTCATCTGCTATGATGCTCAGACATCTTCAATTTCCTTCTTTTGCTGATCGATTGGAAAACTCAGTCAAACGTGTCATTTCGGAGGGAAAATATAGAACAAAAGATCTTGGTGGGACCAGCACCACTCAAGAAGTTGTTGATGCTGTCATTTCTAAACTTGAATAGATCACTTCCAATTCCAAATTCCAAATCATCATCGTTTTGATTTTGATATTTCTTCACAGATTTTTATTCCTTGTGAATAACATAATATATATTATGATATGACCTTTGAGGCAAGATGATAAACATTAAAGACTTCAATAAGAATCAATTGTGAGATGTTTGTACCAAATTTCAACATATCATTTATTTTGCTGCATTTACTTGAGAAGCTAAATGTAGTTATGCTTTCTTTTCCTTTATATGATGATTGTTACATGAAATAATCCTTCCTTCATTTAGTAGTAGAAAGTCTTAAAAGATTATTGTCAGATATCACCAAGCTCATAAGTCACTTCTTAAATTATCAGGTTATATTATATGTAAGAAATAGTAATGTATTTTTTATTTGATGATTTGTTTATTACTATAATGTAAAATAAAAATAAAATTGGAAGTACAATGTTATATTGGGTTTTTTAAAGTATAATGTCTTTACCGAAATAAATTGCAAATAGGGTGCTGTAATAAAAAAAGAAATATAAGTAAGGTACTACTATAATACACAGATAAATAAAAATAACTTGTTATTTCTTGCATTTAGTCCTAAATTATCATACAAACATTTAAAAAAAGGTTTATATACAACTATATGGCATTAAGTGATACATGCATCACATCTTTTTTTTGAAACCAGTTGCTTAAGAAGCATATGATAAAATTTGTACCCATCATCAAAATACTTTCTCCAATTCACTCTGTTGTATCCTACAAAGCCACAATAAGTCGTGTCATGACATGACACATAAATGATGTTTATTAATAAAAAAAAGTTGAAATAATGACTTTATGAATTAAGTCGTTTTTTTCTTGCATTAAGTAAAAAAGAAACAAACTTACAGTGAACAAGTATATTAGCAATAGTCAAGATTGTGTTGTGTGTAATCAGATCAGTTGTTTTTTTCCAAATCCCATCTAACGCCCAACCTGTGAAAAGAAGATAAAAAGCAACACAATTTAGCAAAACAAGCCACAAAAAAAATAATAATAATAAATAAATAAATAAAAATTCATGGCACGACCTTCGTTAAATTCAAATCCTCATGCAGAAACCACCACGGCCCATTCTTGTTTAACAATCTAACCAAACACACAAAGTTAGCTATCTCTCTCTCTCTCTCTCTCAAAGAAGATGAAATTACTGATATACCCTTTGTCATGTCATGAAATCACAATTACCTGATAAGCCCCGCCAACATTCGTAATCCCATGAAGAGAGTCAAACCCGACCAAACTCCATGAAGACCAAAACCCGAGGGAGCATAGAAAAGAAAAGCAGACGATAAAATCCCAACAAGCATCTACAATTAATGGAAAAAAAACACATTAATCCAAGGGCAATTACGTAATTTCATATTCATGTCTAAAAAAGCATACCATGGAATAAGCTGCATAGGGGAAGTCTGAAACTCCATAATGCAACCCATCAACAATAAAAGCCAAAGCATTCAAAGGCTGACTAGCACTCACAAACTTTTTTCACAAAAACAAAACACATCAGAGTCAGAGATGTATAATATATATATATATATATATATATATATATATATATATATATATATATATATATATATATAAAGAAAATAACAAGAAGGGTATTTTAGGGATTTTACCAAAACCCCGGTTCTAGCAATCGCCAATACTCCAACATCCTTAGAGAACAATGTGACTATAGAACCAAATGAAACTCCCAATATTGCAGCCAAAGTAACACCCATCACAAAACCAATCTAAAGAAAATAACAAACATTAACTTTTATAAAATAAAAACATCTTTATATAATATTATATAAAGAAAATAATTATTAATTAACATTACAGTCAACACAAAGTATGTGATATCCTTCACGGATCTATAATCCCCTTTTGAAACCGAACTAGCAATCAACGCCTACAACAAAACAAAAAAAATGGTTAACAAATAGTCAAACATTTTCCTCAAACTATATGTCAAGTCAAAGTCAAAGTCAAGATTTGGTCAACTTATACCTGACCAGATGCAGCCAATGCATCTGTAATAAGAGAAACAGCCAACCAAACTTGCAGACATATCTGATGAGCAGCCATGGCTATAGGACCTTGTCTAGCAGCCATTGATGTTGCTAAGGTTGTTGTTGTAAGAACTGCAAGTGTTCTTCCAAGAAGAAACCCACCTAAAGAAAAAAACACAAGTTTTTAAAAATGCAAAAAAAAAATAATAATAATAATAAGATATTTTATTACTTACCAGATTTCATATAGCAACCGAATTTAAGTGCTCCTGGTCTTGGAGGAAGTAATACAGCTCTTTTATTAAGGTGCCATATCATTAAAAATGTGACAATGTATCTGAAACAATATGATTTAAAAAAAAGGTAAGAATTAAGATAAAACTTTTTTTTTTATAAAAGGGAGATTTTTTTTTTTTTTTTTTTTTACGTACTGTGAGGTAACAGTAGAAATGGCAGCTCCAGTTACACCTAATTTGAAGTAGTACATAAGAATGGGAAACAGAAAAACCGCTGAAGTATTACCAATGCCTGTAAAAAAAGAAAAAAAAATGTATATATATTATTAATCAATAGAAAATAATAATTAAAACTTTAAAATTGAAAAACAAAAAACTTGCCTAGACAAAATACAGGAGTCTTTGTGTCCTTAAAACCACGAAAAACACCTTGAAGAGCTAAAGAGACAACAACTGCAGGAGCACCAAGGGCTCTAAGGGAAAGAAACTGCTGAGCTGGCGCATGCATTGAAGAAGCCTAAACAATATAAACCAATAATTTTAACAATTTTATGCAAGAAATGGAAATTAAAGTATAATGCTATAATAACAGAAATTATATATAAAAGTATTCTTCTGTTTCTTGCATTTAGCCCTAATTTGAAGTTCCCAAAAGATTGAAACTTATTATAAAACTTACTGATGATATACCCATGAGATTAAGAAAAACCCCTGATCCAAAATATAAAGACAAACCCTCAAAGATTCCAATTCCAACAGCTAAAAGCAAAGCTGTAGAAACAGAAGCTAACTGTTTCCTTTCTGTAGAATCAGAATTATCTCCTGTTTCAAGGTAAAAAAAAAAAGGTAAATTTTTTTTTTCTTGAAAACAGTAAAAAGGTAAAATTTTTCCACCTTGGTTTTTAGCAATATCTTCAGCAACAAAAGAAGTGGCAACACTGAGAAGAGGAATATTGAAAAGCTTTGAAACAATGTTAAAGATTGATATGGAAACTCCAGCAGAAGCCAACTGCACAGGACCTGTGAATAGGATATGATAAACACAAAAAGAAAAAGAAAAAGTTGAATTTACTAAATTAACCCTGGAGAATTTTAATCTTTACCTAATCTACCAATATAAGCTGTCTCCATTAACATGGCTAAAGGTTCAATAGCTTGCCCTGCAAGTGCTGGTAATGTGAGTGCAATGAGCTCCTTTTTTATATTTTTGGCACGTGATTGTTCAATCATTTCTGGTTCTTCTTTTTTAGAAATTCCCATCAAGTCCCTGAATATATATAAATGTGAATCTTTTTCTTATTACAGGAGTGAAAAAAGATGATAAAGACTAAGTTTGAGGACATACGGATATACTTCTCTAATGTTTGCCACATCATCTTCCTCTTGTGTTGCAATATTCTCTTCAGAAGAACACACACTAAAATCTGAATTTTTCCTTTTTATTGAAGAAGAAACATGCTTCCTCTTACGCATAATTGTAGAATACATCATCATCTTTGAGGGATTTGAAGAATATTTCAAATTCTTGCAATTGTGTGATGAAAATGAATCATGAACTCCTCCTATTGACAATTGTTTTGGTTTCTTTAACTTTCTTTTTGTCCATTCACTACTTCTTGTTGACAATCCATTATATACAACACCATCATTCAGTTGCCCAGAAGCCATATCTGTGTTATATTAAAACAAAATTTTGTCATATTCACTTATTTCTGTCTTTTATCTAAGGAATAAAGTTTAGTGATTTTATAAGCCTAGAGTGGAGTAGAGATACCAACTTCACAAACGTGTACAAATTTGCTCATGTGTCAATATGTAATAGTGAATTTGCTAAAAGAGGAGTAGGTAAGTAACATCATAATATAACAAAAAACTATGACTAAAATCGCTATAAACAAATCATGGAAGACAAGAAACTGAATGGGTAGTGTGATAATGTAATATAACATCTTATCTTACATACAAGATTAATTAAAAAGATGTGGGAGACATTGATGGATGTGTGTCATTCCACTATTATATAACTCTTATAGAATGTAAAGATTATGTAAGATTTGTCATTTTCAATGCCTTTAGCATCAAATTAGAAACATGACATTGATGGATGTGTGTTTTTGTTGGGTTTCAGACAATGACATGTTAGGCAAATTTCATAATGAAATGCCTTCATTTACAGATCAAGAAAGCAATGGGTTGATTTATGAATGAATTAAAGAGTAATATGATTACCAATAATGTAAATTAATATTCTTTCTTCTTAGGTACAAATGGTCACATGGACCCACAAGATGAAAATGTTAATAAGCCTGATGCAATAAAGGCTTAAAACTACAAGAACACGATTCCCCAAATTAGCGACACTTATTGGAAACTGTTCAGATAAGACAGATAAAGTCATTCAGGAATAAAAAGGAGGTGGCAATTGGCATATCATCGAACACCTTAACTACAAATAACCATCAATCCATCATGATCAAATATGAGGTCAAATGGTTCTTTTTCCACAAGCGCGATTGAATATGGAATATTCAAACTTTAAAGAACATATGATGAAATTATGTAAAATCCGTAATAAAATCCATATGGATTTTGAATCCAAATAGCGAAGTATATGACCAAAAAAAAAAAGAAGAAAAATATGGTTTTCCTTTTTGGAAATGGAGGGTTTAGAAAGATAACATCAAAACTGACAAACAAAGAGATGAACAAGCGCTATCTGAATTTCACAAGAAACACCCACTAAAAAGTAAAAACATTAGAGGCCTATAGAAGCGAATTTGATCAGATTAGCGTACAAAACCAAATTTCCGGCATCTGTCAAGAATCACATGGTTGTATCACTGTGAGTGTTGCAACAAAAAAACAAGAACACTCACTGAGATATAACAAAATCATTACGGAAAAGTGAAAACCTCAAAACCATGAAAGATAAGTAATTTAATACAGAGAGTAAAAAGCAAAAGCAAAAAGAAAATCGTGAATGAAGATTAAAGATTAACCTGAGTAGATAGGGATTTTGTGTTGATTGGTGGTACTACGAGTTTATAAAAGCGGCGGCATGCAAAGGCGTTACTGTCAACTCCGCCGTGGTTTTATGAATACGACGATGACGATGAATTCATGATTTTTCGTTTCGGTTATGTTACCCGGAAAATCCATGGTAACCGACGACCCGACCCGAATTGAATCTTTATTAAGGAGTTGTTTGGATCCGAGTTACATAATAGACAAAATTGCAAAAATGGTCCTTGGTTGGCAAATTTATGTGTTTTTGGTCCAAAACGAAATGTTGGTGCACCACTGGTCCAATTTCAGATACCTTTTGTGGTTTTGGTCCCTATGGTTGACATTTTGTGTGATTTTGGTCTTTACCCAACCTAAAATGACCAATATGCCCATAATATAAATGTTTTTTAATTTCTTTTGTTTAATTTCTTATAATTTTGAATTAAAAAAAAAGCAAAAAAATTCACCCACGTACTCTCTCTCTCTCTCTCTCAACAGCATTGCAACCGATCTACAATTTCCCTCTGTTATTGCTCATAGCGAGAAACCGACCTCCACCGTACGGTGATTATCCCTTCTCCCTCCTCTAGCTCCGACGCCTCTCACCGGCCATCACCTTCATCCTTCCCCCAACGTTAATCTCACAGTAAGAATGTATACCACCATGGAAACGATGGAATGCCTCCGAAATACTCAACAACGCATCCTCCAGTGACTCTCAAATCAATCATCATCCCCCGCTTCTAACCCCAAAGATATCGACGAATACTAAGAAGTCAACACATCAGTACAAAATCGCTGATTCCCGTTGCCTCGGAAAACTCATACCTGATTTGATGTTGGTTTGGATTGTTTCATAGTTAGGTATTGGAAGAGAAGCACCAATGGGGAAAATAGAGTAAGAAGCTTTGTATTATCGGGAAACACATAACCAAATGGATTTGATCACCACCAACGGCTTCCAACTCCTCTCTGTGTATCTACATACACAAAAATCAGTAACAAGGATTAAAAACAAATTGTTTGTGGCTGCTTGGATCAAGCTTCAATTAAAGTATTTGTGGGAGGAATATGTGGGTTTTTATATGCGTGTTCCACCCCTCTCCTTATTCCTTGTATATTCTCTTCAAATCTGATTTTGTAGGTTGGTGTTGGGCTGTGATGACGAAGGTGTATGGGTGGTGAGAACTAAGAAGATGATAACATGATTAATTCCTTTTCCTTCCTCAGATCTGCATCTGCAAGTGATGTCATAAACAAACGAGAACATGGGAAGAAGATGGTGATAAACAATGTGGCACACCTTTTACCGTTGCCTCTGTTTGTTTATCATCGCCCCAGTCGTGCTTTTTCATCAATTCTTCACTACGTTTTCATCGCTATCATCTCATTCTCCTCTCTACCTTGTGAAATGTGAGTTGAGATAAAAAAGATGCAAGTTCTGGTTTGGGTTTCTGGTTTTAATTTCTGCTTCTTGCACTTGTGAATTTGTGTTGCTAGGGTTTTGATTTCATCCATGATTTCTGCTTTTAATTCATGGGTTTGTACCGGGCATGATATTCAGGTTTAATTTTGGGTTTTGAGCACCCCATGCACCCATTTAGGAACTAGGTATGATTTTTTGGCACTGAGAATGATTTATAGGCACTTGGTTTAGATCTTGGCACGAAGGGGAGCTGGTAATGGTGGTTTCCGGCGAGAGATAGGAAAGAGAGAAAGGTGAAGTGGGGTGGGTTGGGTTGGTCAATTTTTTAATTTCTAAATAATTTAAGGATTACAACAATTAAAAAATAGAAAATATACGTTATAAGGGTATAAAAGTACTTTTAAGTGTATAGGGACCAAAATCACTAAAAATATCCAAAATTGGACCAGTGGTGCACCAACATTTCGTTTTGGACCAAAAACACATAAATTTGACAACCACAGGGACCATTTTTGCAATTTTGTCTACATAATAACCACGAAACTATGTTCTTTCTTTCCGAAGAAAAAAATCTCTTAATTTAGGTTAAAATTTAAAAGTAAAAATAAGTTGTATTAATCTATTGTAGTAAACGTTTTGTAGGATATTTTAATGATGCACAAAGTAGGGATGAGATTTAAAACCAGAAAACCAGACCGGAATCGGAACCGTTAAAACCGGAATATGTAAAATCAGTTCGGGTTTCGGGATTAAAGAATGATTTTATCCGGGTTTGGTTGTGTTAGGAATTGGAACTGTTTTATGGGCCAGAACCGTTTTTTGTAAAAAGTTTAAAGCAATATTTCGTTTGTTTGAAGTCGGATTGGCATGCGGTTTTTTTCAATGTGTAGTTTAGAGTTTGTACATGATTTTAGACTATAATTGTGTCATTTTTTGTTTCAAATTCATTAACTTACAGTCCCCTAAATTTGGGATATCAAAGCTGTAAATTTTCAAATTTTCAGTTTTTTTTTTGTATTATGTGAAAATTTTAGAATATACATATCTAATTCGTTTGAACTCAAATAAACATGCGATTTTTTTCAACGTGTAATTTAAAGTTTGTATATGATTTTAAACTATAATTTTGATATTTTTGGGTTATTAATCCCTTGTCATTATTTCGGTGGTTCCTATATACCGGTCTTGTATTCGGTCCTACAAAATGTCATTAACCGGTTTTCGGATTTTCCAGATTCGGATCTATCCGGGCCAGGTTTGAATATACTATTATCCCTAGTACAAATAATGACATGTGACAAATAACCCAAGTGCCGAATTATACATCATATAGTACAAAACACTTAATTACATAAATATACGTAAAAAATAGTGAACTTTAAACACAACATTTATCAGCATGGGTTATTTGGCCTAACCTTTAAATAAAAAATATATTTGTTTTGGACTCCAAATTATAAGTTAAAAAAAATTATCTTATTTTGTCATATACGAGTTTTTTTTACGAAATTCTTTCATTTTTTTCCCTAAAAAAAGAATAAAAAAAATAAAAAATAAAAAAAACTATTTTTCTAAAGTTGATTTAAAGAAGACATATGACTCGATTTGTTGGTCACATTGGGCTTCAATGATGAAAATTATGGGGTTTTCTATAAAGAGTTGTCTTCATTAATCAAATATTATATTTCGATTCTTGTCAACGTTTCACGTAGGGTTGATTTAAGATAACAAATGGTCTTCGGTAAGACGACTCATAATGTCCATTTTATACATATTGGCTAATGAATATAGTCAATATGGATGATTTACAATGCTGCGACCATGTTAACGGCCCAAATTAAAGGAGCTTATAATGGTCTTTCACAATTTTTTTGTGGAATGATGCAATTTTTTAGAGGATTTGTCAAGTTATAATGTTATGCGTCTTATTCGAATTCTAAGGTGCTTTTATTCGGGAAACTTGGCTGGGCTAAATATAATTTTTAATAAAAATAATATGTACAAAATTGGTGTTTGTTTCGTGAAGGCAAAGATTATAACCAATTTGTTGCGGATTCATCTTGATCTTGCTATTAATGATGACATGGTTAATAGAGAAAGTATGCAAAAATATTGGAGAAGTTTGAGAAGAAATTGTCAAGTTAGTAGGTCTAAACTATAAAGGTATTTAGTTGAATGTTTTTCAGATTCATAAAATCAGTATACGGGAGAAGGCTTTATAGCCGTGATACAACAATTGACTAGGAGCTAAACTAGGAGATAGAATCGGTAAACTATTGACTATATATTTACAGTTGTATTCTAAAATAAATACTATAATTAAATCCTTTAGATTTAATTATCCATGTGCCTTAATACGCCCCCGCAAGATGGAGGATCCATCGGAGACTCCAATCTTGGATCGTAAACGAAGAAATGGACCGCGACTAAGAGGTTTGGTAAGTGCATCAGCAAGTTGATCATTTGGGTGAACATGCAAAACCTTTAATGTACCAGTTGTGACCTTTTCTCTGACAAAATGATAGTCCAATGCAATGTGTTTCATGCGTGAATGGTAGACTGGATTGGCACATAAATAGGTGGCACCTGTGTTATCACAAAATAATGTAGGTGGTAGAGACTGAGGAACACCAAGATCATTGAGTAAGTGTTGAACCCATGAGATTTCAGAAGCTGCATTTGCCAAAGCTTTGTATTCTGCCTCGGTGGAGGACCGGGAAACAGATTTTTGTCGTGATGATTTCCAGGAGATGATGTTGGACCCAAAATATAGTATGTAGGCAGTAGTTGAACGACCCCCATGTAGTATACCTCCCCAACTGAATAAGAGAAAGATGTTAAATGTAGCGGGGAACCTCGTTTGAAAAAGAGTCCATGGTGAAGTGTGCCCTTAAGATACCGTAGAACCCGTTTCAGAGCTTGCCAATGATTCTCGGTAGGAGCATGCATAAATTGGGCTAATCGATTAGCAGCAAAAGAAACATCAGGCCGTGTAAATGCAAGATATTGAAGAGAGCCTACCAATTTGCGGTACGGTGTTGGATCAACGCTTGGTGACCCATCCATGGGGTGGAGAACTTGAGAAGAGTTTAGAGGAGTAGCCACGTCTTTAGCACTTCGATACCAAGAAAATGATGTAGGGATCCCAAGTCTTTTATAGAGAAGCGATTGACTAGAGTTTTTATGAATGTATCGATAAATGAGTTGTTGTTGCCAGTGAGGACAATATCATCTACATAGACTATAAAAAGACATAAGATATTGTTGTGGTTATAGATGAACAGGGATGCATCAGCTTGAGATTTTCGAAATCCACAAGAGAGAAGGAATGAAGTGAGTTCGATATACCAAGCCCGTGGAGCTTGTTTAAGGTCGTAGAGAGATTTTCGAAGTTTGCAAACATGTTTTGGGAAGTCAGGATGAATAAAACCAGGTGGTTGGATCATGAAGTGTACCATGAAGGAAAGCGTTGTTTACATCGAGTTGGCGAAGGTTCCAATTATGAGAAAGTGCAAGAGAGAGAATGACACGAATGGTAACAAGTTTTGCAACTGGGCTAAAGGTATTAAAGTAATCTTTACCATGTTGTTGAAGGAAACCTTTTGCTACTAAACATGCCTTATATTTTGAAATTGTACCATCTAGATTTCGTTGACTTGAAAGACCCACTTACAGCCGATTGGAGTATGGCTGCTAGGAGGAACTAATTCCCAGGTTCCATTTTGCATAAGAGCATTAAACTCTTGATCCATTGCATGACGCCACTTAGGATCTTTGAGGGCTTGATTGTGTGTGTTTGGTTCAGTTGTTGTGGGTATAGGATGAAGTGTGGTAGTATTGACAAAGGAGTCATTGAAATATTTAGAGTTTTTCTTGCGTGGACGGGCTGTATGTGAGGGTGAACTGTCTGGAGTGGGTACAACATCAGTGCGAGATGATGCAGGTGAATTCTGAGTAGATGATGAGAATGATGGTTGGGCTGATGTTGGGGATTTCGAGGATACAGGAGATAGTGAGGTAGTATCGATTATGACCGAGGGGTTGGAGCTAACATTTGAAGCTTGTGGTGGTGATGTGGGCTGATTTTGTAGAGAGGGTGAATCGATGTGAGTGGGATCAGATTGCTGTGGGGGTTGTGGTTTGGTGGAGGTGAGTATATGAGATGGTGAGGGTGCATCGTTGTTGCTATTAGGAATAGGGATGGATGTTGGTGAAAATGGAGAGGGCTGATGTTGGGAGTGATTCATGACAAAGTGATCAGATGTAGGTAAAACTAAGTCTGATGGGGAGAGGGACGAAAATTGATTA